AACCCACTGATGAAGAAACAATCTTTGTTTCTTAGAAAAGCAATTTTGTTGTAATGCTGAACACAAAAAGACCTTTTTTCGAAACATGTGTTGTCCTATACCTTTTTACGGAGTACTAGATATATAGACTTGCAACACTAAAAGCAAGGCTGTGTCGAAGGTTAATTAAGTGACGGAAATTTCTGGTGCAACACTGTTTGGGACGTTCAATGCGTAGGCATAAAAAAGCTCTCTGGGTTCTCTAACTAAATGACAAAATCCGCGCTTTTTCCAATCTGTACGGACAATTGCTAACAAAACACAACATACAATTTGTATAGACTACGCCATCATGGCAGTCCGGGTATTTTTCCGGGTATTACACCCTGTTTTCAACCACGTAACTACTGTGCTATTACTTCAGTAATCGTGGCAAGCCCACACCAACGCCGGGTAGTTAGGTGTTGGTGTGGGCCCCAGCGGATAGCAAACTGCAAAATAAAGCTTTTTCATATGGCAACTAAATTCAGACGATTCTTGTGCGACAAAGTCGTACCCTCAATTTTCTCAAAACTAACATTAGCTCAAGTTTAAGGAGGAAAACAAAGACCTAATATGGGTTAGCGTTTATTGATCTACTACTAGAGTTAGTGCTGAAATTTTTAAATAGAGGTATAAAGGGCGTCTTTGAAGAGTACTAGTTAGGCACATGTCAAAGGATTGTATACAAATTTCAACAGTTTTTTTTTTCAAAGCCCACTTAATTTGATGTCTTATGATCAAGAGTTTATTTATGTCCTACAACATATATCCCTTCTTTGAGTCTAACCAGTCTAAGGGTTGAGAAAATTGAGAGTACGATTCATGATGTAAAAGTATCTTCTGTATGGAAGTTGTCATATAAAAGCTACTTGATTTCGCAATTTGTGATCCGATGAGAGTTTGTTGTCTGCTGGAGCCCACCAACACCGGGTCTGAAGGTATTGGTGTAGGCTTAGGACGCCGTTCAGCGGACTCCTGTGGGCTGAAAGAAACTGACCGGTGGAGATAAGAAATGTCTAGATCACGTGGTTTTTCCGATCACACCTGAGATTCTGTAAGGATCGCATGGTTTCTATTGGATAGTGCTAAACACCAGTTATAATGTAGAGTTATTACATAACATGCCAAGCCCTCGCTTATCCAACATGAAACCCCTTTTTCCTGTGACCAATTGCTTGGTCCGAGCGCCGCTGAGTAGCGGCCTCAGGCGCCGAGAGTATGCAACCCTGCAATCCTCTCGGGAGCACACACCGGTCAATTCAGCCCAGCCCACAAAGGTCAGCTGAACTGCGTCCTGGATTTTGGTGGGCCACCGGTCACCTCAGCTTGGCCCACAGGGCTCAGCTGAACTATCGCCTTGTGTGGGCTTGCCACTATTATCGCTTGATTTCTTTAGCAACTAAGTGCAAACTGAACAAAGGCTGCAAACAGACAAGCTCAACAAACACAAACAAGGCAAACATCCACCTGTGACTTCACCTATGACTTCACCTGTGACTTCACCTGCTCCTGTAACTCTTCTCTGTATCTACAGCATCTCGACTGGCAAGATGCAAACATGAAGTGGAACAGAAGAACTACGGGAAAGTTGAGAAGCTACTTTGGGAATATCCACAGCTGGCTGCAGTGGACATACTCGAATTGGGTTAGCGGCAGAGTGTGCTGCAAGTAAAATTAGTTCGAAGTAGATTAACTCGGACTCCGATGTAAAATGGCACGGGTAGGGTGAGTCAACTATTTGTCTGATCCAATTTTGCCCAATCTAAGACTACAGATCTTTTCGCAATTATCCACTCATGAGATTAGGCCATGAATCTAGACTTGTGGGGGTGTTGCAAACATGTTCACCCAGGCAAAACCGGGTTAGAAGCCAATCTGCTCCTGGAAGGTCAATTATAAAGTCTGCGTAGTTTCTCTATGCAGTTACGTATCTCCTTTATTTTCCTACTCCCTTGTCGATCAATTCGTCACATCACCTATAACTTGTGGGCCTTACCCGCTCTCTACGTTCTCTAATTATTTGTCATAGAGATTGTTTTTGGCAGGTACGCCGGCTTGACCTCTTCCACCTGTTTTTGTTTGACAAATTCCCGATATAAAAAAGTCCTGCTTTGTTTCTACTGCTTCCGCTTCTGAACTGACGAACTGACATTGATGCACTCGCAGTCATGTCTCCTACCTTGCTCAGGAATGTCGACACAGTTGAAATTGTGAACATCCACCAATGTGACATGGAATTCTCCTTGGTGGATGATGTGTACAAGAATCTGGACCCACCAGCTGGAAAACAGCGCACGTTCCCTACCCTCCTACTCTACGACGCCAAGGGATTGAAGCTCTTTGAGGAGATCACTTACTTGGATGAGTATTACCTTACCAACACTGAAATCGAGATATTGAAAAAGCATGCGAAGAAGATAGTCGCACATATTCCAGAAAATGCACAGTTGGTGGAGCTCGGCAGTGGGTCTGTGACCCATACACCCTGTCTCCGTCGCTTCGCGCGCCTAAATAATTTTGTGCAAAGTTCTGACCAAATCTTTTTTTTAGAAACCTGCGCAAGATCGAGATTCTACTTCGAGAATGTGAACGGAGTGAAAAGAAAGTAGATTACTATGCTTTGGACCTTTCATTGGGGGAATTGCAGCGAACATTTTCCGAAATCTCGCCCGAAAGCTTCATCCATGTAGGATTCCATGGTCTTCATGGAACGTACGATGATGCTGTCGGCTGGCTAAAAAGCCCAGAAAATCGGAAGCGACCGACACTGGTATTGTCAATGGGATCATCCATGGGCAATTTCAGTCCCCCGGATGCTGCAGACTTCCTTGGTGGTTTTTCCAAGCTATTAGGCCCGTCCGATTTTCTACTTGTCGGATTGGATGCATGCAAAAACCCGGAAAAGGTGTTTAGGGCATATAACGACAGCAAGGGCATTACTCGAAAATTCTATGAGAATGGCCTCCTGCATGCCAACAGGGTCCTTGGATTCAAGGCCTTCAAAGCTGATGAATGGGAGATTTTGACCGATTACGATAACCGCGAGGGACGGCATCAAGCCTTTTATGTTTCGAAAGTTGATGTGATCATCAATGGGATCAAGATTCGCAAAGGAGAAAAGCTCATCTTTGAAGAGGCATGGAAGTACGGTCGCAACGAACGGGATCAGCTGTGGCGTAATGCAAACCTCATCTCTCAGGTCGAATTCGGAAACTCGACAGATGATTATCGTGAGCCTTGATCTTTCAGTCAAACCTTTCCTGTGGACCTACTGACTTGTGTTTGAACAGACCTGCATCTGCTATCACCTGCTGCGCTCGATCTGTCTATGAACCCTTCAAAGTATGCAGCCCAACCGATCCCGAGCATTGAAAACTTTCAGTCTCTGTGGACTGCGTGGGATCTCGCAACTAGAACCATGGTCCCTCACGAGGAGCTTTTGTCTCAACCGATCAAGCTCAGAAATGCGTTGATCTTTTATTTTGGTCATATTCCGACATTTCTTGGTGTGTCTTCAATCTTGCATCTTGCTTGTCGTGCTCAATGCTAATCAAATTGGAACCCAGATATTCACCTGACGCGGGCTTTGCAAGAGGAATCAACTGAGCCTAGTAATTATAAAACAATTTTTGAGCGCGGCATTGATCCGGACGTTGAAGATCCACAGCAATGCCACAGCCACAGCGAGATACCCGATGAGTGGCCGCCACTGGACGAAATTCTTGATTACCAAGATAGAGTGCGGAATCGTGCGCTCTCAATCCTACAACAGGGATATGCGTCGCAAGACCGTGCTCTTGGAGAAGCTCTTTGGATTGGCTATGAGCACGAAGCAATGCACCTCGAGACCTTCCTCTACATGCTGATCCAGAGTGATAAGACTCTTCCTCCCACAGGTGTTGATCGCCCGGACTTTGAGCAAATCAATCGCCAAGCGAAGATAAACAAAAAGCCAAACAAGTGGTTCAGAATTCCACGGCAGACTATTGAAATTGGATTGAATGATTCCAATGAAGAAGTTGTGCCAAATCAATCCTTTGGCTGGGACAACGAGAAGCCCCAAAGAAAAGTCACCGTGCATGCCTTTGAAGCTCAAGCTCGGCCCATCACCAATGGTGAGTATGCCAAGTATATACAGGATAAGGGCATTAAAACCTATCCCGCGTCTTGGGTGTTCAAGCCAAGCCAAGACAATCCCGTTTCCAAGGGAATCAGCTCTTCAGATGCTCAGGCCGGTTCGAGCTCCAGTCCCGCAGGACTCTCTCTGAAAGACATCACAGTTCGAACTGTGTTCGGGCCTGTGGCTCTTGAAGTTGCACAAGACTGGCCATTGGCTGCTTCCTACGATGAGGTGGCGAGCTATGCAAAGTGCATGAAATGCAGGATCCCGACGTTTGAAGAGACCAGGAGTATCTATCATTACTCGGACCAACTCAAAGGTGATCGAGTAACAAATGATCACAGGTATGGGAAGAAACGTATTTGTGAAATAGCAGAAACTAATCTATCAAATAGGAATGGGGTCAACGGGCTTGCTAATGATAGCAAGCCCAATTCTACCGATCAGACTGTTTTCCGTGATCTCACTGGTTGTAATGTTGGTTTCAATAACTGGCACCCTATCCCTGTCACATCCAATGGGGATCAGTTAGCTGGCCAGGGTGAAATGGGAGGTGTCTGGGAATGGACCAGCACACCATTGATGCCGCACGATGACTTCAAAGCTATGGACATTTACCCTGGATACACATGTAAGTGATACCTTGAGCATCAAATCCGAACTTAAACTCATCGATCTTGACAGCGGACTTCTTTGATGGAAAACACAATATTGTTCTCGGTGGCTCGTGGGCAACTCTGCCTCGCATTGCTGGCAGGACTACTTTGTGAGCACAAGCCCTGTAATGTGAAGCAAGCTGAAGCAACTAACAGTTTTTAGTGTCAATTGGTACCAGCATAACTACCGCTATGCATGGGCGGGTGCACGACTAGTTAGAGATATTTAGACAGAGCTTGAGCAATCGTAATGAGCCCTGGAGATGTGCCTTGGGAGTGCTCAATGACGATGACCTCATTCTCGCGATAAGAGATAAACCGCTGGAGCGTAACGTGACTGCCCCTCATCCCTCCCCAACATCTTCTCCAATTCCTTTCTTCTTTTTGTATAAGTTGAATCATAAAAACCTTGCATTATGTCGCTGGAAACTATTACAACCATCTCCCCTGTCACCAATGAGCCTGTTGTAACCCGCACCGGTGTCTCGCCGGATGAGTTGAAACAGATTACGGTGGCCGCCCAAGCAGCTTTCAGGCTATTCTCACAGTCCACAACATTGGAACAGAGACAGAAAATCGTGGAAAGTGCTCTTGATGTTTTGGAGAAAAAGAAGGATGAATTGGCACGTGAAGTTACTGAGCAGATGGGCCGGCCCATCGCCTATACAGGTGCCGAAGTCGCGACCGCCATCAAGCGTAGTCGTTACTTGATCCGCATTAGTAGCTCCGTGCTAGGCGAGCAAGGAGTTGTGCCTGGAGAAGAGGAAAAGGGATTTAGACGGTACATCAAGCGTTCGCCTGTCGGTGTGGTGCTGATCATCTTCCCATGGAACGTGAGTCCAATTTGTCAAGATGTTGGTATACTTGCAGACGCTGATAAGTCGATACATAGTACCCTTACCTCACCCTTGTCAACAGCTTGATTCCCGCCATTCTCGCTGGAAACGCTGTAATTCTCAAGCCCTCTCCCCAGACTCCAACAATCGTTGAGCAATTTGCCTCTGCTTTTGCTGCGGCCGGTCTTCCCGAAAATGTGCTTCAATTCTTCCACTGCGGATCTTTCACATTCATTGAGACCTTGATACGCTCCCCGCTAGTGAATCATATCTGTTTCACGGGCTCCGAAGCTGGTGGCCTTGCAGTGCAAAAGGCAGCCTCCGATCGGATTGTGAATGTTGGTCTAGAACTTGGCGGTAAGGACCCGGCTTACGTGCGAGATGATGTAGATCTCGCCTGGGCCGCTGAAGAAGTCGTGGATGGCGCTATATTCAACAGTGGACAGAGCTGCTGCGCGATCGAGCGTGTCTATGTCCATGCGAAGGTCCACGATGGTTTCATTACTGAGGTGAAAAAGGTCTTGAGCAATTACCGTGTTGGCGAGCCTTCTGACCCCAAGACCCAAATTGGACCTGTTGTATCTAAGCGTGCAAAGGAGGCCATCATCGCGCAAATCGAAGACGCTGTGCAGAAGGGTGCGAAGAACGAAACCCCTGCCAATCAGAACTTTGAGAACTTCCCTTCAAATGGAAATTACGTCAAGCCTACCCTGCTGACCGGCGTTAATCATGATATGGCCGTGATGAGGGATGAAACCTTTGGGCCTGTGATTCCCGTAATGAAGGTCTCGGGTGACGACGAGGCCGTTCGTCTGATGAACGATAGCGATTTCGGCCTTACTGCCAGTATTTGGAGCAAGGATGTTACTGCGGCCGAGAAGCTGGTTGAGCGGGTTGAGGCTGGCACCGTTTTTGTCAACCGATCTGACTACCCCAGCCCTGTAAGTCCTGTTCCTTCCATCTACTATTGTCGCCTTTCACTAACCGAAGTATCTTGTAGGACCTCGCCTGGACAGGCTGGAAGAACTCTGGCCGCGGTGTTACCCTAAGTCGATTCGGGTTCGAGCAGTTTGTCAAACTGAAGAGCCACCACATCAAGGATTACCCCAAATAGACATGTGCATGTGAAATACGTTAGATTTTGCCAGCTAGCGGAATGGTTTTTGTTATATATCACCACTTTAAAGTCATGAGTATGACATGAGCTTAGACGACCGGATGTCATCATGTGCCAGGTGGCGTTCTAATTCTCTTGTATGTTGTATATCAGTGATCTTACTCCGATCCTTAAATCTACGGAAAGTCCGCTATTCTCTGTAGCCCATTTCAAGCTGATTCTATAAAATAGTTCAGGGGTGCTCAGGTCCTTTCGGCATGAAAAGCACCAGCCTCAAAAATCCAATCACAGTTGCACCTCGGAACCAAATGCTATCATTCAATGCTTCGATTTATTAACCCGTCGCCTCGGGCTCGATGTTCTCCTCCTTGTCTTAAACAGGCAAATTTTGCCTTTTGCCGGCTATTTTAGCCTGTTTGATTCTTGAATGAGATGTGTATTTTTAGCCTCCCGACTGCCAAGGTTGTAGTTGACTCACTCCCCACCCCCTGATATCAACCTTTTAATACAAATCGATCAACTTTCCACGTCTTCGTCATGATTCCAATCCCAGTATCAGAGGACAACTCCTTCCAGTCCTTAATTGCGGAGGCAAACGACGATTCGGTGGGTGGATGCTCGAATTGTGATATATTATCAGCAGCTTAACCATCTTTTGCTCGAATGATAGGCGAAACTACAATCTCGATACGAGAACCACCGAGTGGCTCGCAATAGCCAGCAAAGCGCGAAGATCCTAGCCGACAGCTTTCCTGGCTGGTCCCTTGACGAGATTCTGAAGCGACTTGATGGCCCTGAAAAGGAAGATGGGTTTGTCGATCCTCGAAATTGTCTTGTCATTTGGGCCAGACCCTCGCCTCAAGTTCGCGACCTCATCTGCTTTATTCAAAATGAGTTAAAGAGCATTTCTCCTTGTAAGTTCACCAGAATGAAATTCTCTGATGAGGAACTTCCCATGTAGCTATCTATGTCATTAACATGAGTGGCCGTAGCGCTCTGGCTAATGCCGCCTGAAAACCTTCACATTACTGTCTTGGAAGCTGCTCATTCCCTGACAGAACAACAAATCGAGGAACTTGTCCAGATCCTCCTGTCATCAAAGGATGTCACCACGGCAGATATTGCAGGATACCCACGCAGTCACCCTACACGTCTTATCAAGCCAATGGTAAGCTTTGATTCCGCCGCACTAGCGCTCAGCTTTGTTCCGGCTGCTGGTGAGTGCCTAGAAGCGCAATCCAGTAGCGATAATGAGCACTACACATACCACCATCTTCGCCGAGATATCTTTGATATGGTGCGACAAACCAAGGTCCCTGTTGCTTCGCGTTACATTGTTCCCTCGGCACATCTCACCATTGCAAGGTTCATATCCCAGGACGGGTTTCTGGTCAGCGAATCAGATGGCGCAGAGAAGATCGATCCTTCGCGTGTTCAACTGTTGATTGATAAAATTGGGGAAATTAATCAGAAGTTGGAAGATGAGTACTGGCCCAAAGAGGGTGCCATCGGGAAGGGGGGGGAATGGATTGTTGGGCAAGAGGGCCTAGTCATTCGGAGAGGCCGTCTCTGGTATGGAGGCGGCGAGTATGTGCCGCTTGACTAGATGTTTGTTTGAAGCAGATCAAGATCTATTCTCCTAGTTCTAGAAGGGGTTTGCATGTTGACTCTGGGCGCGCCGACGCTACTGTCCTTAACCAGACCTTCCCCTGCGCGAGTCGTTCTAACGCTTGCCAGGTTTTGCATCCAGTGTAGGAATTATCACCTAATGCATAGATGGTTTAAAAAAATTAGACTCAGATCAAAATTGTTTGGCGACATATGGACATCATCGTAGAGTTGTATGCTTCCTCAAAGCCACCACTCTCCCTATCTAACAGATTCGTGATCGAGAGCCTGAGGCACCCAGCATGGCCAGATTATGGAAGTCACATGATGCCACGATTCCTCGAAATTGAAGCAAAAGAACCAATGCAAACGCTATTTTTGGTGACATGCTCCAATGGCGGGTTAAGATTGATGGAAAAAGGGCCGACCCACGCCTACTGAAGTCAAATCATTGACCATAGCGGTCGTCAGATTGCAGGTGGAATTGTCCTATTTCAGGCTTTTGCTTCTAGCGCACAAACAAAATCTCCTTTCCAATAAGTAAGGCCGGCTGGCCCAATGGCAAGGCGCTTGACTACGAATCAAGAGATTGCAGGTTCGATCCCTGCGTCGGTCAATCTTTTTTGTTCAGTGCAAGTCTACCCGAGCAAGAACCCGAGTAGAAACTACTGAAACGCCAGTCTCTTGGCTGATTTTAAAAAGTGATGGTGATATTCTTATGATGAACGAAGCGGACTGCCCTTAACCACGAGAGATTAAAAATCCGTTGAATCTTGGTCAAAAAAGGCTAGGAGATCAAATGCCGATATATTTCACTCTCTTTGGAACTGCAAGTCTGTTCCGTTCGCTCGTCGCTGCCAAATTTGTTCTTGGTGACAGGGTAGCAGTGTGGAATGTAGGCTGTTTTTGTTTCGTACTGATATATGGTATGCTAAATTTCAAGGGAACTAGCAAGTATCGTCATGATGAATGGTATTCGATTTCCGGAATGGCGAGCTTGTGCTTGGATCAATGCTTCTAGCCATTCTTATGCTGTGTATTTCAAGCTAAGTCGATACTATTCATGCTACACTCCTTGATCTTCCCTAAGACCTTCAATTTGCTAAGAGTGCATAAGAAACCCTTTACCTTCTTATACTCTACGGGGTAGTTGCTAGTTATGGAAATTGACAAGTCACGGTTATGTAAGAGCACTGGAACGGGTTGTGGGCAGGAAGCACTATCGAATGTGACGGAGTACATTGACCATTTAGGTTTTTATATTATCTCTGTTTATACAAGCAATCTGTTCGAATCAATGGCCTTGTTACACGACTATCTTGTCAAATCATCAAATGCAATTCATGGCCGAAAATTGGCTTCCGCACAGCCCAACCTCGGGCCCGGGGCCCGGGCCTAAAAGCCTCCCACGGGGCAGGCCAGGGGTCGAACCTTCAGGCCCAAGTGTGACCTTCGGCCCATCATGGGCCCTTATTAGGCCCCTACTAAGCCCACGATTCAATCAGTGCTTTAGGGTCCTTTGTTATAACGTTCTTTGTACTTCTATGAGTACGGGGGTTATTATAACAACTACATTTCTATGAAGGGATTCGGAAGCCCTATAGAGCTATAATCGTGACAGATGCGATCCTAGGGAGTATCTAATACCGATTGGTTTCTGTCAAATTACTAAGAATAGTATAAAATCACCTTTAAATAACCTTGAAGCTGTACCAGTTGTATCAATTTGAAACTGTATAGAGACCACAGCCCCTTTTAGTGAACAAAGAAAATACAGTAGCAAAAGTAGCAAAGCACTCAACCAGGAGAATCTAATCTATTCGTTATCTTTCTATGATTTGTACTTTGATTCTATTTGTTGTATGCTTTGTCCCCCGGGCAAGCGACCCAACCGCTAGCCAGTCAGACCGACAATGATCAAACCACATTCTTCCGTCTGGCCATGGATTGTTGGCAAAGCGTTTGGCGACTGAGAAAGGGGCCAGCTGTCTCTACTTAAACGAATCCCCCCCCCCCCACCTTACCACGTCAGGTCATTTATTCTCTCTTCCTCCTGCGTCTTGGTGTTCAATTAATCCGTTAATCCCTCTCTGACTATTACTTCAACCGGAATGCGTCTGGCTCTTGCTCTCTTCGCGATTGCAGCGGCTATCACTGCAGCATCTGCTAGCACGGTCCCCCCCGAACTGGCAGTCATCGGCGAGCCACCCACCGTTTTGAATGTGACATATTCTGTAGGATCATCCGAAGTCAGCTTCAAGCCGGGTGATTTCCTCAATACAACCGGTATGCAAGAAAAGCCTCCGAGGTTCCTCCAAGGTATAAATATTCAAGTTGACTAGAAGTTTCCAAACTCCAGTCTCCAAGAATGCACCCAAGCCGCACCTGCAGGAGTTGGGGTCGAGTAGAACCAGTCGCTACCTTCTGCTGATGGTTGATCCCGACTGGAATCAAACTACTCCTCCATCGGTAATTGTGCACACCGTTGTCGCCAACCTGACCAGAAGTATCAACAGCAGTAGCAAGGAGAACGTTATCGCGACATATGTTGCTCCCCAGCCCAAGTCCGGAACACACAATTACACTTTGTTCCTCTTCAATCAACCCTCCAACTTTAATATGCCCGTCTACTACGAATCATTCATGGAGACGACCGATCAAACCCCAATCAACCGATTGAACCTGCCCCTAGAGAGTTTCATCAACCAGACGGGACTGGGAACACCGGTTGCAGCCAATTACTTTCGTGTTATGGCGAGAAACGGCACAAGCACTGGCACTATTAGCACTGGTGCCACCACTGGCACCATCACCACTGGCACCACCACCAGTAGCGCCTTTAGTGGGGCAGCCATCAAGATAGTGGCCAGCCATTATCTGGCGGGTGCACTGGCCCTAGTGGGAGCAGCAGTTCTTACTATTTAAGTCCGTTTATGCTTGTCATCGAACAAAATGTACAGTACAGCTAATTGAATGTCACCTGTAGGCCCCCCCGCACGGAGTACCGGAGTCGTGGTTACATTCGGTCATTTGCACTAAACCAGCTAGTCCAGCGTAGTCCCACATAGGGCTTACAATCCATGCTTAGCCTAGATTGGGAAAATTAAACAAGACTTCAGTGCCTCCCATTGGTACTCGGGATGAGATGCAGTGCAAGAAATACCGTACGTTAGCCCCAAATCCCTTGAACGTAGCCTGTTGGCATTTTTGCCTTTCGTCTATTATCTCTCTCAATGGCTGTTGATTGTCTTGACCACCTGAAGCCCACAGCTGAGTAGATAATGGTCTCATCGCGGATTGAGTCTCTGGCAAGCGTCATTGCCGAATCGGCCCACGAGCTCCGCACTTTGCTAGCGGAACATAGCCTTGAGGAGCCTTCTTTCGCTGCGGACTGCCCAATCTCGATAGCCCTACCACCAGCAGTAGATGCCGCGCGAAATGCTCTTCTGCATGCAGCGTGCGAGATCCAGGATCTTCTTCTCGACCCGGCGGATCTCTTGCGAACATATGCTACGGTCAGTCAACCGAGTCCTTTTTCCCTCTCTGCGTTTTGGGGGGGAACAAGATACCCTGGTCTCCAAACATCTAACCAGACATTCTACCAACAGCATGCCCATCTAGTGTCGTTGCATTTCATCCAACAGTTCAACGTCGCTCAGCTTGTGCCCACTAGCGGTGGGGCCATCACCTTCGCGGCTCTTGCCGATCAATGTGGGCTACCCGAGGCGGACGTATGCCGTCTCCTCCGCCACGCAATGACCATCCGAATATTCGATGAACCTCGCGACAATGAGGTGGTGCACACGCGAGCCAGCATGCTCCTCCGCGAAGAAGGCATCCATGGCTGGATTGGATCAACCTGCGAGAATGCCTGGCCTGGTGCAACTAAGGTTAGTGCTCCTTCCTAACCCATTACAATCTTTATCATCTCTCTAAAAAAAAAACCACATCTCAACATAGACAATGGAATCATTGAAACGTTTTCCCGGCTCCTCAGATCCCACTCAATCGGTGAGTTCTCGCCCTACCACCCCCACCCAACGGCCCCCTTTTAATGACTGGAGCCAATGAATAGGGCTTCGCTCTTGCCAACAACAATCTCACTCTCTACGCCGCCCTCGCCCAATGCCCCCAACGAGCGGCAACATTCGCTGCCAGCAAACGAGGTTACACCTCCGGTCCTGCTTTCCACCCTACCGCCTTCCTTGACGCCTATCGCCCGACCCTGACTGGCCTCTCCCCGGGTTCCCTCTTCGTTGACGTGGGCGGAGCACACGGATCATGCTCCATTGCCACTGCTGCAACCTATCCGCACCTCCGCTATGTCGTTCAAGATCTCCCTGACGTCATCGCACGCGCCCCACATGACCAGTGCCCGGACCGAAGCGTGAAGTTCCAGGCGCATGACTTTTTCACTCCACAGCCGCTCCGCGAGGTTGCCGTATTCTATCTCAGACACGTCTTGCATAACTGGGGGGACGTGCATGCAATTAAAATTCTTCAAGGGTTAGTACCAGGGATGCGTCGGGGGACGCGCGTGCTGATTCATGAGCATGTTTTGGAGCGCCAGAAGCAGCCGATGTGGAGGCGGAGGTTAGAGAGTGCGATGAATTTGAATATGTTGATATTGTTGAATGCACAGGAAAGGGATGAGGTGATGTGGCGGACTTTGCTACAATGTGCGGATGCGCGGTTCACTTGGGTTGGGGTGCGGAGGCCGGCGGGGAGTTCGTTGGCGGTGGTGGAGGCGATCTGGGAGGGGTAACATGAGTGGGGCCTCGTCAGAAGGGGCAAAGGGGGCCAATTTCAATCCTTTTCTTCTCGTTCTATCTCTGAAAGGACGGCCGCTAGTGGTAAGCTGTGAGACTAGATGGCCGTGGGGAGCCCGTTTGGGCTACGATGGGCCCAGTGAAGCGTAGTCCAGGTGACTGTGCAGTGTGGCCAGAGCGGGTAGACGGGGCTTATCAGCTTAAGCCTTGCAGACCAGTCCTCACTAGTGAAGATCTCAGGTCCTGCAATTTATAAAAAGGGGAGGAGGGGGAGGTTTCTTTGTTTCCCACCTTTGATAATGGATCGTGTAGACTTTTTGGGGTATGCACAGTGAATTCCTTCAAAGATCAGTGATCCCCTCTTTCATCCCAAGATGGCAGATCCTGCAACCCCAGGTTGGTACCAATCCAACGTAACAACCATCGACCCTGAGGCCCGATCGCTTCTGGAAGAATACAGTGGGTTTCAATCCGATGAGGTCCTGCCCCATGTTCTGGCGCTAGTAAGTTCGCCCCCTGCGGGTGTAGAAGCGCCCATGATCCCGTTCAGTTAGGTTGGAACAATGCAATCTATGATTCTGCAACAGACTAACGCACTAGAAACCCCCAATCAGCGAGATGAGGCATTCAAAATCTTCCCGTACCCCTGCATCGGGCAAATGCGGTTTTTGAGCTGTCACCTCGCGCGCCTTCCGTTCTATCCGCGGGTGCTCGCTCGCCTCCAGGCCCACGCCTCAGCAGGATTCCTCGATGCAGGATGTTGCGTCGGCCAGGAGCTCCGCTACATGGTACATCGTGCCAACATCCCGGCTCGGAACCTGTATGGGTTTGATCTAGAATCCGGGTTTTTTGATCTCGGATACAAACTTTTCCGCGATGATGCTACGAAATTCCCAGCGACTCTGCTGCCAGCGGATCTGGGGACGAAGGATGCTGAATGGGAAACCTCACCGGTTGTAGATACTATGCGGGGGAAAATTGATGTCGTGTGGGCGGGCTCATTGCTGCATTTCTGGGATCATGAGGGCCAGGTGCAGTCACTCCTTCGGTTGATTGGGTTGTGTCGTGAGGGAGAGGGAGTAATTCTCTGTGGCAGACAAATGGGAAGTGTATTGGCTGGGGAGTATGAGATGACCGGCTTACTGGAGACGCATCACTATCGGCATAATGTTGAGAGCCTGAAGGGTCTGTGGTTTGATATTCAGCAGAGGACAGGACAAAAGTGGGACATCGAGGGGAGTTTGGAGGTTGGCGAGACGACGACCAAGATGCAGGGAATGAGTTTTGTAGACTCGAATGCTAGAGTCATCTGGTGGTGTGCCACCAGATTGTCTGGGTGAAATTTTCTTCCACTGCCAGCTCAAGTGCAAAAAATAAAAAAAAAATCAATCAATCTGCTGTGGACACCATATGATCTTGTTTTGAAAACTGAATACCTTAAAATTGCTGGATAACCTAAACAGGCATGGATGCCGACGTTTCACTGTTGCATCATGCAATGTATAAACTTCAATTACTGCAGGTCAATTGAGCATTATAAGGGGGAGGGGGGGAATTGGGAACCAGTTGATCATCAGTGTGTACTCCGTACAACATGCAACGTAGTTAACATAGTTGAATGACAGACATTGCCGGAAACGAATTTTTTTTAGCGAATTTCCACATCCATTTTAACCACGATCCCCTTCATTTCCATGGATCCCTGCGACTTAATATCCGAAGTGCAGTTGGCACTAGATTGGCCGACTTGCACCAATTCCGTACTGCTTGATGATTCCCCCAGCCGAGCTCGGGCCCAGCGCAAGGACGGTCTGGATGAATGGCTGCATGAGCTCAGACCGGTGGTGGACTGATTCTTAGTGTGGGAATCTCGTACAGCCTTGCGTATGCGAGAGAAAATAGGGACGGCAGTCGCGCAAATAATGGCTATGTTGAGTTGAATTACATCCAGTAGTTCAAAGGGAGCGGCGGCGTAAGTGAAGTCGGAGTGCAGATCTGTGGCAAGGTAGAGCACTATGACGCGAGCCACGGCCGACACGACAGCGCTGGGATGGGTTAGTCGTGCGTAGTAAATTTTTTTTGGGGGGTGGGGAGTGGAAAGAACCCCCCTTAAGCCCCCATGTTTCCATGTTTAGAATTATGGATTCAAGCTCGTAGGACGGAAATTCCTTGGATTATTCATGATATCTGTGTTTTTCACGGGAAAATGGGAAACAGGGAGGCCGGGAGTGGGGTGAAACGTACAGTAACCCCACAGAGAAAACAATCATTAACGCTGCCTTGCGGGCGAGCGGCATTTGCAGAGTGGCAATGGTAGTAATCGGAAGGACCAGAATGACCACATCGGACACCAGATCCAGGATCAGCGGGAGACCGTCTGCATTAGTGGTATTGCGGCAGATGCCATGCATAGTAGATTGGGGGTTGAAACGTTCCCAGTAATAGTTGATGGGGACGCAGGAGAACATGTAGGAAATAGTGGAGCCAATGGCCCAGAGGACGATGTATACCACGTTGACCCACCAGAAGATCTTCAACCACATCTGCTGGACGATGAACAATCGGCGATACCAGAGTAGGAGAGCGATCTTCGTGGCCAGCATGGAAGGTCCATTGAACGTGGCCGTCAGCCAGACACACATAAAAATTTTCTTGAGAGCCTGCCCCGAAGCATCCGAGGCTTCCACTCGGAATAAATGGTATCCCAGGCCATAATGCACGGCCACAATGGTGGCTACCGAAACCACGCTGGCAAACAGCTGAATCGATCAGTCAGAAAAGGACAGAGGGAGAATTGTCATGCACGAATATGGAACATACTACAGCGACAACCAGCCAATAATCCTCTGCCATCGGACGCTTCTCGATACGCCATTGAGCCCAAATACGCAGCACGACGCCAAGATTACCGAGCACCAGCATTGTGATGCTTAGTCCTAACACGACGGCCTTGAGGGACTGGGACCACTCCGCCTTCTCGGACGCCGTGAGGGAGTATAAGAAAGCGGAACTAGAGGTCATCGTTTTCGACATGTTGAAGGTAATCGTGGAAAGACTCTTGAAGAAAGACAATAGGCGAGATCAGACAATAATAAATACCCCCTTTGCCTAACCGGCGTCAAAGCAGGTGATGATGGCAGGGATGCCATGTTGCATGGCCGTGACCCCAAGGGGGTGGGGGCAGAATTAGTGAAGCCTCCCATGGAGGATGGGGTAAGAAACGAAAAGACTTGGTTCAGTCAGCACTGGAAATGGGAGAAGAGGGGGAGAAAAAAAAAACTATTTCAGTCAGCGTGAGATTTGATCGTTCTTGTTTCTTCAAGACCTTTTTTTTCTTTCTTTTTGGCCATGTTCCAATCCAGAGTTGCTTCTCCTTTCAATTTTACCAATCCAGGGCCAGGAAAAGACCGGAAAATCATCAAAACTGAACCCCCATTAACCAGTGTGTTAGAGCTTCTTCAGAGAGCAGCAGCAACCTCAGCTGGGATCACATTCTACAATGCACATGATTCTGGAAAAAGCAACCCAAAGCGTATATCTTACCAAGAGCTGCTCGACCAGTCTCGGCGTGATGCAGCATGGCTGCAGAACTCCGTCCTAGATTTACAGCGGGAGACTGTTATTTTGCTACACTTTGACACGCACGAGGAGAATATCCGCTGGTTTTGGGCTACGACGGCAGCGGGCTATGTTCCCTGTATTGTGCCAAAATTTGCCGTCTCTAGTGACAGGCGTATTGCCCAAGCAGAGCATATCCTGCGGTTGCTCAACTCCCCAGTTATCCTCACCAACGACCGTATGGCATGCGCCTTCAATGGCGTAGAGACTCCTAGTCTGTATCGCGTGGACGATCTCATACCGATTTCCACATTCTCTAGTCCTAGTCTTGCGCCAGTGGTGCAAAATCAACGCGACGATGACCTTGGAGCTCTGATGCTCACTTCTGGTAGCACTGGGTTCTCCAAGGCCGTGTGTCTGCGACAACCCCAGATGCTGGCAGCGGTAGCTGGCAAGGCGTATCACTGTCGGGCCACGTCGGAGGATGTGTTTCTAAGCTGGATTTCATTAGACCATGTGGTCAATCTGGTCGAGATGCACCTGCATGCCATGTTCCTCGGAGCAGAACAAATCCAGGTAGCCACGGAACGGGTACTGACAGACCCCCGCCTATTCCTTGACTTGATCGACCGGCATCGAGTATCCCTCAGCTTTGCTCCAAATTTCTTCCTCACTCTACTCCGTGAACGGGTGTCCCATCCAGACTTTGAAAGAGAACCCCCGGTCTGGGATCTATCGTGCTTGCGTTGCGTCTTCTCCGGCGGGGAGCCCACCGTACGGCAGACAGCAGTGGATCTCATGCGCTCACTGCAACACCACGGGGCTCGACCATTTATCTGCGCTGGCTACGGATTGACCGAGTCGTGCGCCGGTATAGTCTGGGATATTGTCGACCACACGCTGGAGAGCCTGGACGGTGCTTCTGGCGAATTCCTCGCCTGTGGCCTGCCCATTCCCGGAGTGCAGATGCGCGTTGTGCATGAGACAAATGGAATGAAGCCGGCTGCTGTGGGTGAAGAGGGTATGCTGGAATTGCGTGGTACTGTCATGTTCGATCGGTATTATCGTGACCCTGCAGCCACGCGTGCAGCATTTACGGCCGATGGCTGGTTCATCACCGGTGACAATGCCTATATAGACGAGCATGGTCGGCTGTACATCACTGGACGGACCAAGGATACCTTGCTCATTAACGGGCTCACCATCTTTGCCGTAGAGGTCGAACACAGCCTCGAGCAAGCACGTATTCCGGGCCTCACGCCAAGCTATACGCTGGTCTTCGCCCACCGGCCTCCTGGCGCATTCACGGAGTCGTATTGTGTCGTGTACCTTGCCAGCTATGACCCAGATGACGACGAAACCAGAGCCCAGACCACCGACGCCATCGAGCGTATTGCGAGTTTAGTAGTGCATGTCAAGCCCGCCGCAGTCCTTCCTATCCCTCGTCACTACTTCGAAAAGACCTCCCTAGGCAAGTTATCTCGCGCCCATTTCCGGCGTCTCTTCGAGAACGGCACACTCGAGACCGAGCGAGCCTTCCATATGGCTCACCTGCGAGCTTATCGCCAGGTTCACCGACAGCCGCCACGCTCGCCGACTGAGCAAACCATCCTAGATCTCGTCTGCACGCACCTCTCCACCGACCCAAACGACGTCAGCGTCACAACCAATTTATTCCAACTCGGCCTCTCCTCCCTTGATTTCTACACCATCACCCAGGACTTGCACCGGATCTTCCACGCCCATCTCACCCTCCCAGACCTACTCTCCGACCCCACCATCTCTGGCCTCGCCCACCAGATCTCCATCTCCACTGGCATCACCACAAGAACCGCAGAATACGATCCCGTGATCCCCCTTCAGCCACACGGCTCCACGGTTCCGCTCTGGCTAGTCCACCCTGCGTCAGGAAACGTCCTCATCTTCACTGCCCTCGCGCGTGCCTTTCACGACCGCCCTATCTACGCCTTCCGTGCCCGCGGCACTCGACCTGGCGAGCCCCTCTTCACCAGCATGAACGAAATGGCTGATCTCTACACTACTGCCCTCCTACGCACCCAGCCCCAGGGCCCGTATGCCATCGCAGGGTATTCGCTCGGGAGCAGTGTTGCTTTTGAGATTGCGAAGAGGCTGGAGTCATCCGGTGCCGAAGTCCGGTTTCTGGGTGCGTTAGATGGGCCGCCTGATATCTCCCCGCTGGTGGGACATTTAACTTGGTCGGAGGCTTTGGTGATGATTGGGCATTTCTATGAATTGATCTCGGAGAAGAGGTCTCTAGAGCTTATGCCGGAATTGAGAGTCAAGGAGGCCGAGATGGCGCTGAATGTTATTCTTGGCGAAGCAGATCAACGGAGAGTCCAGGTTTTGGGGTTGGATAAGAGAGAGTTGACGCAGGTGACGGAGGTTACGGCTGGATTTTGCCGGGCAGCGGGAGGATACGTGCCCCGTGGGAAGGTGGGGGCTGTGGTTGATGTTTTTGTCGTCGAGCCATTGTTGACGGTGACAGATCAAAGGCAGGTATGGGTGCGGGATTATCTGGGACAGTGGGAGGAGTTAAGTCGGTTGGGAATGGCGGTGCATCAGTGTGAGGGCCGACATGCAGATATGTTGGGGCAGGAGCATGTTAATTCTTTGGGTTTGATTTTGAGGAGGGTCTTGTCTGAAAGGGGAGTATAAATAGACTGAAGTGAAAGGTTGGTCTGATGGTTTCAGCTGCTATGATCAAGAAGATTAACTATTTTGACGGATATAGAAGGGAAATCTCATACCTTGATCTCACTGATATAGCGTTCTATGGTTTTTCAAAGCCACTCTCTGTTAGACAGCCGAATTAAACTTGTGGCCCATAATCCAAAGGATGCAAGGCCAAGCTCTTCAGTCGCATGACAGATCTGATAATTTGAAGTGCGGGACATGGGCTATTTTCGGCAGCATTCGATTTTTGGTCCACCTCATTTAACAGGCCGGGTGAATGAGACAGGGTTGATCTTGTAGAGATGACAATGACCAAAATCGAGGGGTTTAGAAATGGTTGAATTCATAGTTCGCAAGTCGTTACTCGGTAATTGAGAAGGGGGTGCCAGTGCCTTTGGACTTGTGCTCTTGTCAAGGACTCTCTCTCTATTCTTCCAACCCCGTCAACCAATATCATATCCTCTTGCATCTTCTGAAAGACACCGCCAACTAAAAAAAAAAAATTACTCGATCATGTGATCCAACTTGTGATCTAACCCCGCTCCCAACAACGGCCTTCCTTTTTGACTCTCTTCCAAGATTATATGTCACCTAGAAGGGCCCAGTATGTCGATTACTCATATCGTTCTTTTTCAGTTCAAGTTAGAAGTGACCGCGGAGATTGTCCAGGATGTACGTTTTGCCAAAAGATTCCAACGCAGATGGACTTGACCGCGAGCAAGAACTTCATAGTGGATGTTAACAATCACCCCCAAAAGACCTGTGAGCGTATGCTTGCTCTCAAGGACAAGTGCGTTCACCATACCTCTAAGCAGCCCTATATCAAGTCGACGTCCGGTGGGAAGGATAACTCCCCCGAAGGCATCCAAGTGAGTTTCTGTTTCTCTTGAGAGTCTGGAGGACAGAATCTTTCGAGAAAATCTGACTCACTCCGGATAGAGTGGAATGACACACGCATTTATCGTAGAGTTTGAAAGTGCTGCAGATCGAGACTATTATGTACAAAGCGATCCGTCTCATCTGGCCTTCGTCAAAACTCTTGATGGACTCGTGGAGAAAGTACAAGTCATTGACTTCACTGATGGAGTTCTCTGAACATCACAATCATAACTTCAAGTGCCCACACATCGGCTAATTGGATTGGACTTGGAGTCTTGGCTTTTATAGAATCTGGGAGAGAATCGACCGTGTGTCATACTCGATGCAAACATATACCCACAGATCAGTTTACAGTCACCTATATCCTGGTCTTTCAATCTTCCTCTCGAAAGATGCCGAACAAAACTGTAAAAAATAACGCCAGAGGGTAAATTACAAACCCTTTTAATCTCTTTAGTGGTGCTGGGAATGTCAGACTGCATTGACGGCGCCAATGCATTGAATTTTCTCTGGGCCAAGCCCCTCAGCTCAGACAAAATGGCAGGTGAAACGAGTCAACAGGACAAGAAAGACATTTTGGATAAATCCGTTCGCCCACTGTAGCTTGCTCCGAACGTATGCTGCTCCGCTGCCATAAGGGAGTGCTGTTAGGCCCGCCGACAACTAGAAAGGTTGCTAGCCCGGCCGTTTTATGAAACTTGCAAAGTGGGGTTCAGACCCTTGTACATGGAAATGAAGAAAAAAAAATACACTCAACACATAGAAAACTTCACCAGAACGAATGTCATGGCCCGTCACCTCTCCGTGGGTTGTGCCCTTTCTCCACCTTATCTATCCCTCCATGGCTCCGTCATGTAACCGAGGTCATCCTTTGCGAAATCATCCAACCAGTCAGCTGCCGCTCAGGCGCTCACTCGAATCAAGGGAGTATGCAGACCTGAGCTTTTAAGATCATGAACTTGGAGCGGTTGTGGGTTGCTCCACAATGTGTCACGCCCTTCGTGTAGAAAGGTCCCATAAGAATGGATCTCCAGTGTATGGCAACACATTCCGGGATACGATTGCAATGCTTCAATTTGCCAGTAAATTTAATAGTCAGGAATGTAAGCCAAGCTTCAGGCTTAGAGAGGCACTCCACCGGAACTGGCCGATACGTCAATAGTAATGTTTATTCAGAACGCTATTGGGCCCTTTGGATGAAAACCCCAGATTCAGACATTGCGAGGACGGTGATGCATACCACTGCCAAACTTGGTACAGTTGTAGTACTTCTTCGTGGGCTTCACGTTTACCAGAATAGCATACACTTGAAACCTAGGACACACTAGGATTCGACAAATAGTTAAACTGAGCTCCTGTAAGTGTATTTCGACGGCGGTATCTTTATGCTATTCATGCTTCTACTCAGACGTAGCCAAAGGTCCGAGAATTCCCTATCCCTACGGTTCAATTCAAGTTAGGGCTCGACTCCGTTGGCCCAGATATAACAATCAACAACAATTGTTCAACATGAAGAGACGGTAGAAACCAAAAAGTAGAGTTGAATAGGTCCTTGTGTCTTCTGCCTTGAGATTGAGAATATTAGAATACGTACGATATACTATCCCAAACAGGTGCGAAGCTACACTAGCCTTTGTAAGCTGTTCTTTGACTCGGCATTGTTCCAATGCAAGGGAGGCGCGAAATAAGAAAAACACGCCAACCATTCCCGAGCCTCGCAGCCACCCGCAAGGTCTTTCTGTTTCAATTGAATTGATGGCATTTCTATAACCTTTTAGGCCCGGAGTTATTAATATAGTGAAACAAAGGAAATCAAGTCGAGGAGCCTGCCTTGTTTCGGAATTGCCAATGTGGCTGCTACTTGTGCATGTAGCGATAGTTCACTCATAATATTACAGAAAAGGACTTGAATCTGTCTTAATTGTCTCTGAGATAGGGTATACACTTGACCTCCAAGATCAGGTCTACCAAATACACCGTAGTTGGAGGAGCTACTCCGGATGTACGCCCCCCCCCCCCCTGATTAACATAATAACCTGTAAGATCACCCCTGTCAGTTTCAAATTCATGAACGATCCACACAGCTACAGAATTAATCGGTGATTAACGATGCATCCTTGAAAGAAATGTCTAAAATCGCTTGCCGAGAACAGGGTCTCATGACCGCCTAGTTTCCAAGACATTGACAAAGAAGGCGAGGCAAAATGACATTCCAACTGAGCTAGTGAGTCTGCACAAGAAAACAAAAATCGAGTTGTCCCAGAGCTAGGGACAAGGAATCCTGTTTCCCATGAGCTTCCAAGACCCTCGCAGGGTTAAATATATGCACTTACCCGACCCGGTAAACGGTGACTTTAGTGTGACTGAAACATCCTGTACTCGGGACAAAACAGGTTATAAAGAACTTTAGAGATGACTCTCTAGTCCCTTAAATAGAAAAAGAAACACTAAGAATGAAATATGGTTCGCCAGACCACGAGGGTTCTCTTTGCTTCTTCTCCCCTTTACCCCTTTGGTCTGGGCCGCTTTCCACTCGATCCACTGAGGGTCGTATACCTAATTTCCATGGGCCTTCAATGCCAGAGCATCTTCCCTGCAGCCTGCAGATCATGATTGCCGCCTGTAATGCCCATCTGCTGTGTTGCATCCGATGAGTTGCAGCAGATCGTGGGGTATATTGTCCGCACACAGAGAGATAGATAGACACCCGTAAAAACGGTCGGGTCGAGTGATACACATTTGAATTCCCAGTATGGAGTAGAGCCAGAAGAGGTAAAAAAAAAGACTCTAAGCATTCGGGACTCTTTGTCCTAGCCAATCCCAAGCAATCCAGGCCCCCCCCCCCAGGGAGGACCCACTGCTGCCGCCAGGGGAGCGAACTGCTGCTAGATTGGCGTCCTGCCGAGCCTGTCATCCTGTCCATGCCAAAGGTACAGCTGTCGCCTAGTTCGACTGGGGCGAGACTGTGGATCGGGTTGTCCCTGACACGCCGGGAGTAGCGTAGATTTGCATAACTCCGTACATACTAATATTTGCACTCTCGCCCGACCTGTCGTTTGACACCCTCATTCCCTAAACACACCTCAATGGTGTAGAGCAGTTGTGTCCGGATTTTTTTTCCTGCTTCTTTTCCTTTATTTGGGTGCTGTCATCCTCATCCTCTCGTTTCGCCTTGTCACTCGTTGTATAGTATTTGTTTCCTATCCAAGCTTTACCCTTTGTTCCTTTCAATTCCTTGTTCACAATCAAGGACATACTAGCTGGAATCAACATTATTCAAATACTCTGTGAACCCCCCCCCCCCCAGCTCTTCATAAGAGCTTCGTGTCCGCCGATCGGATCAATCAAAACGCCATCGATCTGACATGGAATGCCCTCGGCAAATTTTCCGGTGCTTGAAGGCACCTCTCAGACGCGACAAGGGAAAGATCATTGAAATTGTAAGTTGAGCAAAAGCCCGGGAAAGGCTTGGTCGTTTGAAAAAGACTGTCGCTGACAAAGTTATGAAACAGGGTCCTCCCACTGACTTCCGAAAAGAAGAATTGCCTGCTTACTTCTCTGATGCTGAGTCAGTTCTCTCGCCTTGTCAAATTCCGACAGAACGATCACATCTGACCAATCAATCACAGGACGGTTACGTCCCAGGACAGTCGCACACCGATCGCGGAGAAAGACAGCATGATGATCAAAATGGTAGCTCTACCATCGTTGACGAAAGGCAAGGTGCGGGCCCATGCTCGAAGGATGAGCGTGAGACTGTCCTCCGCTTCCGAGACCGCGTGAAGTTACACCGGTGGTGGAAATTGAGCCCAGTTGCAAGCTATGAAATTGAGGCCTCGGCCAAGTCAATTAAGGTGCAGGAAATGTGAATCGCCAAAGTGTCGGGTTGACAGAAAGATTGTGGATTGGTCCGTGAATGGTCACAACAAGAAAGTCGGCACTTCACTGCGCCGGGAATTTTTTGCATCTAAATCACTCCCTCCGCCTTTTGGTGGTGAGAGACTCGAAGGAGGTTCCTTGGACCTGTTAGAAATAGGGTTTTTTGGCCGAGATGACTCTGGTAGTTCATCGAGGTCATCAAAAAGCGATTGAACTCGTGATTTATACGCGTTCGCTGGACTGGGTCGCCCATGTCCCGGTTTTGATGTAGAAGTGCTTTGTATTTTAGATTGCTGCTGGGCTCGTGGCATTGCCTGACCGTGAGCCAGCCTTGTTCGTAGAGCGGCATTTTTTCTTTTGGGCGGTGGCAGCACGACTGGCTTGGTTTCCAAGTCAAGGTCGTCATCTGAGCCCGAGGCCGTCTCTTCATCCTGTTCAATGCATGGAACTTTTGATACTCTTGATGATGCAGTCACACTCCCTATACTGTCCACCCGGGCTCGTCCAGTACCTAAAGTAGGCGTCTGCCCGAAGCCCGCAGCAGCTCTAGTAGAGGACTTGGGTGCGTGAACTCCTGCTAAGGATCGTATTTTTCGTGGACTCGTCATCAGATCATGAAGATGTGTTCCAACCCATCTCTCATCATCCTCAGCTTCATCTTTCTCGTCGTCTCCTCCGTGTCCGATCTGCGCGAGTCCAGCTTTATGTCGCCCCCTCAGCGTTTCGGCCTTTCTTCGTTGCTCAACTTCGTTTAAAATTGAAGTACGGCTGTCTGTAGGTCTCTCAATTTCTCTTATTCCGGCTGCAGTTTCGGCTTTCACTTGCTTTCTCCGTCGCAGGTACTCCGCATGATGTAGATGTTGAGTGAATGCTTGCGCGACAGCGTAGAATTCGTCTTCTACCATAACCCAGCCATCATCGCGTTGAACTCCTTCGATTAAGAATCTACAAGGTGCCAATTAGCGACTTCCTCTAGTTGCGCGGGGCCTGCTTGCAATCGTACTCTTCGGAGGGACAGCGTCTGATAGGAGAGGTCGGCGGGCTTTGTGCTGTAAAAAGCATTCAGAATGGGGATGAGGTCAGATATTCTCCAAGTTCAAAACCTACAGGATCTGAAGAAATCGTGCCTTGGGGGAGAAGCTCGAAGATTTTTGGGGGTGAGGTTGCGATCAGGACTGGGTTCCTTTTTCATGCGCTTCCGTGGTGTTGACTCTTTTTTCACACGGATATTATTCTTAGTAAGAAGCCAGGGCAATGTCCTAGGCATTATTTAAGATTATTAAAGAGGAAAACCAAGACGTGGCTTGGTGTCGTGATCTCAGCAAAAGATTATGTCGAGCGAAAGAGAGCTGCAGATAGGCATCCATGGCCGATAAGGTGAGGTCATCCGCATTCCGCGCAACACAAGTTGGGGCTCCACTACAAAGTACAAGATTTGCAAGTATTAACCTCGTTCATTTGGGTATCTAATGCCATTTTCGATATTCGTAATACAAGATGAAAATAACTGGGACCGCCTCAAACGCCTCATGCAGGACATCTCATCGAAATCAATAACGGACTGCCGGTAGAACGCCCATCCAACCATTTGAGGGAAAAAAAATTAAACGCCAGTATCTCCGCCCATGCAAGGCTCCCCTCACACCTCGCCAGGCCGCTTGCTGTTGCAGCTCACGATTTTCACCTTATCTGCGGACACAGTTGTCTGGTTGTCCAGCTTGAACGAGACATCTTTAATTAGGAAGGTCCAGACTTCGTCGCAGAATCGGTAGGTGTCCAGGTGGCCCTAAAAGCGGTAGAGGAATGTACAGGTTAGCTTCGTCGAACAATGATCGAACCATGGCCCATTTGGCCAAGGGCGTGCTTTGAATGTGACATGAGTTACCTTAAAGGTGAGTCTGGCCCGAACCTTGTCCGCCAAGACTTCAGTCACAATCTTGTCAAAAGTACCAAGGATCTTCATCGCCAGTTGGGGCTCGATGCGGCCTTCATTGATCAGGTCGTCAAGGGTGTCGGTGAGGGATAATCCGAGGCTGGATGTTCTTTGAGTCAACTTTGGAGCTTTGGGTTTGCTTCATCGGGTACATTACCTGCTGCCACGGTAAAGCTCATAGTAAGCTACAGATGCCATTCTGAGATGAAATGAGAGCGGACTCGTCGAAAGAGTATTGGAGGTGTGAATTACAAGAGCAAGTTCAAGATCGCCGGCCAAATCGCGGGGGCGGCCGTCAGCACGTGATCTACAAAAGTCACGTGTGAATCATTATCTTGAATTGCGTCAGTCAGATAAATTGAATGCATGTTCTTTGACCTCACAAATTCCTCAGTAAACATACAACAAGCTCGAAAAATATCACAGCATGAATGTGAAGATTTTCGGACCTCCGTCCATCCTAAATAAAACATTATCCAGTCAATTGCATGTCCCTGGTGCGCGATACTTGTCAACAACCTTGTTCAGGGCATTAGAAGCTCAAGGTTGGTCAGTACCGCCCAAAAGCCCACCTCAAGCTAATGTGCATTGCCTTGGAATTATAGATCTCCAAAGTAGCCAAAATACCGAATCGAAGCAAGAGGAAGCCAATCAAATTTCAGAGAACTCCTCGAACCAAGATAACAACCGTCACACGCTTCCACTCAAGGCCAAAACTGTCTCCCAAGCCGACGCTGAGCTTCGCGAGCGACTCGAACAATTGTCTGGAGCAGGAGGAGCCTGTGGAATTGAGTACGAAGACGGCAAACCGAATGCAATGAAGCGCGGCGTGCGAAACAACATGTTCCGATTAATTTGAAAACAATTTTTCGACATCAACATTCACAAGAACAAACCTTGATCATCTCTCAAATGTTACATATTTAAATTCGAGCGAGGCGTCATATCCTGTAATGCAGGCTTGGCTCCGGATGCTTTGGCAATGGACGCGGTGAAGGAATGTTGTGAGCTCATCGTTCTCTTCTGCCCCCGATAGCTGCAGGCATCCATCAAGATTAGACTCTTGAAACTTCGTTTCCGACAACAGACAAGAATTCTCGCGCTTGGCTTTGGTTGAGTTTGCCTAATTGGTATTCCGAGCATTTGCATGTGACGTTTCTTTGATAAGAAGAGACGGCCATGCCTAATCGAATGCATTCCACTCTCCGGGTGCGCCTGCATTCTCTAATTGCGCTTCCTTGGTTCGAGCCGCGCAATCTGTCATGGTGCTCTCATCTTAACTTCTTGACTTTCGATAATTGGAACATTCCTAGGTATGTGCCATTGGAACATTTTCATTTCCTGGTTGGGTGCGACTTCATTGCAATGCGCAGGGTCCTGGGTGACAGCGATAGCGATAGCGCTGCGTGTATATCATGTCAATGCTTGTAGCAATGCCTCATAGGTTAGGCTTCAATCATCACGCTTTGATCGACAGTGAAACATCGCTCGGGGCTGGACTTCAACCGGAAAATGTGCAAGACCATGAACACAGCAAGCCATATTATGGGGACCTGAAATGGACTTGTCCAACCCCAATCAAAGCGTAGATTAACGAAATTACCAAAGCCCAAAATAGGAATTCAGTGGCAGAAATCATGTCTCATTTCTATGCCGTGAGCCCCAACTCGAATTCAAAAAGAAACAGACATTGTCCCAATTAACTCCTAGTTTCGAAATATTTTCGCATTGACGAATTCCACCCAAAGAAGGGGGAGAAAAGGCAAACAAACAAATGCTTGCTAGCGTTTCACAAGAATCTCATTTTCTCACAACCATGCCAGCCAAAACACCGGCGCCAATGACACCACCGTCGGAGGCTTCCCGTAAGAAAACCGATTTCCCACCTCGTTGCGGACCAGTCCGCATGATGAGACGGTCTATATATTGTTGGCACATCTCCTTGAACTGCGGGTAATGTTGGATTATGCCACCAGTGTAAGCCACGACGAGTTCTTCAGGACCGGACTGCCAATCTATTGGCGTAGGATTGAGGATAGGGACGACATGTTCCTGGGCGGCGTGGTTGACAGCGACAGCGGCAGAGTTGAGATTTACAGCCGTAGCGTTCGGTACACCAACGAACTCGGTGATGGCGTCGCCGTTGCTCTGAGGTGAAGCGGGATTCTCGGGTGAGCTGCTGTTGCTGTCTTCCTTCAGCTCGATCTCGCGAGCACAGGCAAGGAGGCCAACCACCGCAGCGGCAATCAGCCCAGCTGACCGTCTCTGTACCGCGCGGGCGATCTTTCGGAATGCTCCTGCAGCTCGGGCATCCCAGCGCCAGTCACTGCTCTCTGGTGGAGGGAGGGATTTATTCAAGGCTTTGGCGAGTTCGCTGTCAGATCGGGCTTTGGCGACAAGGTCGGAGATGTATGTTGTTGTTAGGGCGTATTCTTGGATGAGGTTTGCAGGCAGGGAGCGTTTTGATAACTCAGCGACTGTTGTGAGATAGTCGAATAGGATCAAGCGAATCAGTTCACCGATGTAGCGGCCTCCGGTCATGTATTCGAATGGCTGGAAGCCTGGACGTGCACAGGCCCGGTCCAGTTCAATGTCCCATTTTGTGGTCACATTGAGCTCCTTGAGTGGTGGCGCAGCACCAAAAATAGTCCACTCTGTGTTAACAATAGTCTCCACAGCGCTGGGTTCCATTACATTCACACTCTTGGCTTTAGATTTGTGCAGTGCACTGAGTTTCATCGGGATGGTCGCGTTGCAACCAGTGCCTACAATGATGCCCATGGCGACTCTGCTGTTTGGTAGAGATTTGACCTTGTATGCAAGGGAAGCCAACGTGGCCACTGTGTCATTGGTGATAGCTTGGATTTTCAGTTTTGGTAATGCGAAGAGCTTTCGACGTTTGGTTGAGGGTTCGTCTTCATCATCCGGCCGCCTTGTGTGTTTTTCATATCCATTCAGAAGGATGTTGCCAAGATTGAGATTTGATGAGATAGCGAAGCCTTTCCCCATGGGCATTAATGTGGCCTCTGCCAATGATTCTTGCCTGGGATAAGTTAGCACAAAACTAACTGACTTTCGTAACAGGAGCCGCAGAATCAGGACAACTCAGCAACACAACAACCTTGGGAAAAAAATAACTCACATTATAGGGAAACTGAATGTAATTCCCATATCTAGTTCGGCCGGCATATCCTTCTTAGTGGCATCTGATGATAGACTCTCCGCTACCACCTCCGCAATGCAATCACCGATCCAAGAAAAGAGATCTTCCGCCTTGTCCATCTTCAAATGATCTTGAATAGGCCAAGCTCGTTCCAGCGTTCGCTTGACTCGTTGGCGCTGGGCTTTCCGGATGGTGTCCCGTGATCTCTCCGTGGCATCTGTAGGTCGAACATCGGAATCCACGGCTTCTCCGAGCAATTCGATGAAAGCAACCCGAAGATTGCTACCACCTACATCAATCGCTAAATAGCGACCCGTCTCCCGACCAGTAGGAAGTTGAGTTACGGGTGTTGGCAAAAACTGCTGGTCCGATGTCAGGGCCAGATTGCGGTATGTGGTGGAAAAGCGCCGGGCCAGTTTGTACAGCACAGCCTCATCCAGGGACATTGGTGACAAGAAATCTTCCAATTGCTGATGGTGCGCCAAATATTCTTGTTGAATGGCGTCTAGTTCCGAACTGTCATCCTCATGTTCCTCATCTTCAATCAAATCGTCGTGCATAGTTTCGTGTTCCTCGTCCTCATCCTTCTCGGACGATTTTAAATCCACCAAAGTCATGATAGAAGATGGAAGATAAATCCCAAGAAAAAAAAACAATCACTAGGCCAAATGGGGTGAGAATACCAGGCAAATTGAGCTAACACAGCTATGTCAGTGGTGACGTGTAGGGGGTCTGGAATGTTTAGGGACAGAGGCAGGGCGGCATGTCTTTGAAATCCTTGAATTGCGGGGACAAAGCTACCGAGGAAGCTAATCCCATGCCCCAAGAGCTAGACTTGTTGTGTTAGCGAGGTTGCAATAAGGGGAAGGGAACATGTCGGTGACGCGGTCCGCAGGTCGTTTGGGCTGCGGGGAAAAAAAAAATCATGATGGTCATGCCAGAAGGGGGAATCTTCATCTATGCTTTATTCCATACATACCCTGGAATTTTGGTCCGCACTGATTGCGCTGATCACGGAGATAATATTTCTCAGGGAAGAGGGGGGAGATGATAGACTATGCGGGGGATCTTTGGGCTATGTTGACGGGAAATATCCCTAGATGGTCTCGAGGGAGTTGTTGAAGAATGGAATTATATAGCTTCCTGCTTGAAGATGGGAGGAAAAGCAAAAGAGGAAACAGAAATAACTGAAAGGTTCTAGAGAATTTGTTCGGAAGTACCTTTTCTGTTTTGGCTGAAGTACGGAGTAAGTATTGCGGTGATTGGAAGAATAGTGTCGGAGAACAGTCGGAGGTCAGAAGTGGGGGGGGGAGGGAGAGAGGGATGTATGCTTCCGATCAGATATCAGATATGATATGTGATTAGATCGAAAAATCCAGAAACACGGATCATAAGCTTGAAAAGTTTTAAGAAAGAAAAATAGTGAGAATATAGAAGAGATGAGATGCGACCATCGGACGGCACGAGGCGATACGACGTTGTTCGGGGCAAGCTAAATTTCCCTACAACTTTCGATTGGAGAAAATGCCACTTTTGATATCCCCCTCTTGCGCATATTTCTAAAATCAACTCTGAAGGTCTATGTAACCCTTCTTTAAACCCCATCCGGCTAAATCCCCTTTCCCAACCTTTTACGAGTAGAGAGTATTATCCCAGAGAGCCAAGCCAGTTTCCTCATTCTTGGCAGTCTCGGGACTCGACTAAACACAAGCTTATGCGGTATTTCGAGGGGAGTTCCCATTGATTGGAGACCAACACACTTTTTTACGAGGAACGTCGGTGAGGTCAAAGGATTCTGCTGCGTTGACATGCTACACTTGCTGCTGACCGCAAGGAGATTGGATTGAGGGTCATAGTAGATTGCATTTTATTTGAGCTCGCGAGCGGGCTGATCAATCCGGTTGCTATTACTAAGCAACGAAGATGGCCTGTGAGGTTTAGTCAAGCCCATGGTTCGGCACTGTAGCCCTTAACATGCTGCTGTAATTATAACTTGCAGAACATTCTTTCGAGAAATAGGAGCGTTCAATCATGCAAA